TTTAACCAAATCGAAAAATTTTTGCGGCAAATAACTCCACAAAATAAGCTTTATTATTTTAGCGAAAAAAATTTTTGGTGTTAGGTGCACTTTAAGAAAATTCAGTTACAACACAACACTTGAACGTTGTCTCATTAACGATTATAATAACAATAAGTCAATGAGACATTTAGTTATACTGAATAAGCAAACATACCTGGAAAGACTGGTATTCCCATTGGTGGCATTTTACTGCGTGGAGTAGGTGCAGGTGCAGGAGGACTCTTTGGAGGTCGTGAGGATTCACTTTCTGGGATAGGGGCAGGGGGTCTCTCTGAAGGTTGTGGTAGATATGTTTTTGGCAATAGCTAGTGATGAAAGTCAGTGCATGTTATTATGATACACACTTGATAGTGACAAAAAATAAAATGAAAACAGCAAAAACACACTCACTAGTAACACGATAAATTACCTTTGACTGGACGTCTAAACCTGAACCTGCTAAAGGAAAAAAGCTGTAAATTAATTTACAAAGAAAAAGATATTTGAGAAGACAGAAATGTTGCAAAACTTGCGTTGGGAGAGTTATGTCACACATGGCTGACTATCCCTCAGTATCTGGAGCACAAAGCAACAAGGAATATTTTTGTGGCTACTGCCTTCTGGGAAGGCATAGCCACTATATCATGGTGTTGCAAGTGAGTAAGTCCATAGACTTTCACAGAAACCAATTCCCCTCATATCAAAATGACAGACTATCGTGTGAAATGAGTAGGTCTGTAAATTTCCACAGGACACCCAATACCCATAACAAACTAGGCACGTGAAAATAAGTCATTTTGCGGTCCACCATCTTTGTTTTGCCATCATTGGATGATGAGCAAAGTATGTTTGTTTTACTTTTCCTGGATGGATACTTTTCCATTTCAGGCTATTACCAGCATATTGTCATTTAGTCAGCCAGGTAACCCTTAAAGTTCACTGGTACCTGTTCATACTCCTTGCTAGAAAAAGGGGCAGTGAGCAAGTAAAGTATCTTGCCCGGGAACACTGTATGTTAATAGCAAACAAAGATTAAATAAATGTAATCTTAAAGGTGATTCTTCAAGGTGCCCTATGGTTTACAGCACTTTTACTTTGATCAGTTGATACTAAACTAATGGTATTAAATTAATTGTGATCATCTTCATGATAAATAGTTACACAAAACTAGTATAACCTGTCAGCACTATTCTCTCACAAATCACTTTTTTTTTTTAGTCTATTATCTCAGATATAATAACCATGCAAGCTTAAAGTACCTGTAGGAGGGGGTTCACTTCTTCGTCGAGCAAATGTTTGTGGTGGAGTGGAAGTACTAGATAATCCAGCCTGTATATCTTCCCTATTAACAGGTGTTGTTCTAGACCTTGAATGATCCTTTCTTTTACCATAGCTTCCTGAGGGGGTTAACAAAAGGCAAAATTACATATAAATTACTTAATATAATGAAAAGGGAAAAAACAGAGAAAAATATGACACATACTTGCAGTCTTCTCCTCTTTATCATAGTCTGGTTGAGGGACAGGAGGGGGAATATCATTGCAAATCTGAAATTAGAACATGAATTGCATGTATAACCAAGAAATGAGAAACAATTAATTACAACATGTACAGTTAGGAGCTACTTGTACCACTGAGAAAGTTTTATTAGGAGTTCGTGGACACTTGAGCCAGTGCTTTAGTAAGCAAGCAGGAAAGCAAGCAAGAAAACCATTTCTTTAAAGTCTTATCAGGGTTTTAAAGTTTATAACAGTACTCTCCATTTATCTCAACTTGTTGGGCACTGATCATGCAAATGCTTTTCCCACTGATGATTACTTCATTCTGAACTGGATGTTGTTATAAATGAATAGCATGTGACAATCCATTATGATGGCTAAAAAATAATTGAAAGAAGCCAATGTATAATTTAAACAAAATAGTGTCACTTAATTTGTTAAGAGACAATCCAATGACTCGAAGCAATTAAAAACAATCTACTTAAGTTTGTCCTTACCTTTCCTGACTGTTTCAATTGTGGAAAGAGATCTTGAAGATTGCCATGTATTCTGGAAAACATATGGGAAGAGGTCAACAAATGTAAATCCTACTGATTTCTATCTAGTAAGTATTGTATATATTAAACAATATTTATTGTATCACTAGCTCTGTAAGTGAGCAAGATGAACCAAATCCTTAAAATGGCCTCGTTCTTTTAGTTTGGGTTTATAGGCTTTGACTCAATCCTGGTCCACAAACAGGGGAAAAAGAACTTGGCTAATATCTGTGATCTAGCCCTCTTGACATTTCAATGGTAAGAGCAAAGTCTGTGTTTGAACCAAATGGCCTACAATGTATCAGGCCAGGGCTTGTCTCTTGTTTAATTTCCATAGCATGAAGTGACTAGGAGTATTCCACTCCCCCTTGGATGGGATTCTAGTCCATCACCGTTACCTCGGCTCACAACATTTTCCAGTACCCATTTGTACACCTTGATGGCAGATGCAGTAGTACAATAGTGAGAATACTGTCTTCAAGTATAAACATGTGCAGTGACCTTGGCCCAGGTTCAAACCCAGACTGCTTGATACAGAGTACAGTGTACTAAACATTAGGTCAGAGTCGATCGACATCTCAGTCAACAGCTCATTGAACCTTAACTTAATTTTTCAGACACACCATAGACAGGGCTTTTATTTACATTTTCAACCGGAGCGCAACTGGTGTTCACAAGCGGGCAAAACTTTTTGAACCAAAATTCTCATAAGAAAAACTTTCCTGTCGATGGACAAATCTGGCAGGCAAAATCGTCCTCACAGCCAGTCAATTTGCCTGGTGCCAGGCCTTTAATGAAAACCCTAGCCATAGAATGTTGATCAATACATTAGAGTTAGTTGACACTTAGCCAGCTATCGACCAACTGTCGATTGAGTCATGATTGAGTCTCGATTGAGATGTTGATCGAGTGTTGATGGAGTCTCAATCGAATATTGATCGAATACAAATCGAGTATCGATAGAGATGTCAATCAAGATGTTGATAGAGTGTTGATCACAGGTATCGATCAACACTTGACTGTGGATGTCTTTGGTACACATGATTTGTAAACACTAATTAAAAGTATTATCCAGGGACTCCAATAATCCTTCTTCTGGTGTCAAAAAGATGAAAGTCTCTGTACTTACTCTTCATCTTCCTTGTAGTATCCATCACGTTCTGGATGTTGGGTGAACTAAGAGGAAAATAGTCTACATAAGTTATACAGATTTAACTTTGACAAAAACTTTAAATAACAAATTATATACACTGAATGCAAATATGGCGGACCACTCGGTCGGCACCCGGGACAAGTCGCATGAAAGCGAGGCTAGTCAGGCTTTGATGTTTTGTTTTGACAATGCTTCCCCAGGAAAGTTTTGCTTCGTCGTCGACCTGGTCTGTTTTATTTAGTTGTGGCTACAAGCTGCTGTGTTTCTGAACGCCACGAGAAAGGATATAAATTTTCCACTGTTCGCCTCTTAAGCTTAGGGAAAATAGTGGATCAATGCAATTCGTTGAGATGAAGGAAAGGAGTTCATGATCGCCGCAGGAACTAAAGTTTGTTCGCTACATTTCACATTAGAAGATCTTGGAAAAATTGTTTAAATGACAAGCTTATGTAGTGTCTGGTGGTGTTCCAACATGATTTACACGGCCAGTACCTTCCCCAAAGTAAAGAAAAGTTCCTCTTGAAAAACATCCTTTGTCTCAAAGGAAGAAGTTGACTTTGTGTCCACTCGCACGAAATCGCACGAAACAAATACTATGGTGTAATCACCAAGCGAATGAACTTCAACTGCCCCCATCATTGTATCCAGTAAATGCTTTGAGCCAAATGAGAACGACTTGGAGCTAAATGCGGTTGCTTACACATTTTCTAAGATCTTCCAGCCTGAACGAACAAACTTTAACAGTTCCTTCAGTGATCGTGAACTACTTTACCTTCGTCTGTTTTCCCTGAGAGACGACTGCGGAAATGGAAAAAAAAAAAAACACTTTCCCTGCTGTGGAAGGTTTCAATTCCTTCTGGTGGCATTCAGAAACACAACTACTTATAGGGAGTGCGAAACAAAAACAGACCAGATCGACGACGAAGCGACACTTTTGTGGGGAAGCATTGTCAAAACAGAACATCAAAGCCTGACTAGCCTCTCTTGCATGCGACTTGTCCCGGGCGCCAACCGAGCAGTCCACCATATTTGCATTCGGTGTATGGTTAATTAATTCTATAACTTCAAGACCCTAAAATTTAATGAATGTCTTCAACTAATAAGTATATCACTACAGCCATATTTGAGAACTATCTTAACAACAACAATTTTTAGCCTTGCACTAGCTCTAAATAATTAATTTTAATATTTATTTTAATATATTCAGGCCCGTATGAACAAATTTTAAAGTGGGGGGACCCAGGGGACAGCACAGGCCGATGAATAATTATGTACTTGTATAATGTAGGGGTCCATCCCTGTAGGGGGGACAATAGGATCCTTTCTGGGGAAGCTTTTAAATCTGGACACAAATCATGGTCGTAATTTCTATCAGTGTACTTAACGATACTACATACGAACCGATACTACTACTACGAGCCACATATAAATATATATATATGTTTCAAAATGAAATTCTGGTTAAAATGAAATTCCTTTGTCTCTTAACCCTAAAATAATTAATATTCATGGATCATGAATAATTAGGGTTAGAAAAGAAAGGAAATTGAGAATCAAACTAGGTTGAAATCATTCTAAACTGAATTTAATTTTGACCTACATGTATAACATATACATGCAGTAGCCACGTGAAAGGGTAGTTTACAAGAGTCATCTTCATATACCTCATGTCCTGAGCTTATTCCACTACTATAGCTTCCACTACTGCTTGTAGCTGAAACATAAAACAGTGTCCTTGAGAGAAGGTAATAGTTCTCTTATATAGAGAGCTACCAACAGCATACATGTACCGCTCACCATGAACTAATTATAATGGTAGACACCTAACCTGAATTTTTCTAAAACTCACACTACATCATCATTTTGTTTTATTGAAGCACTGTGATTAAATAATAATCTTTAACTACTCACTTGAAGTGGAACTTCTTGAGCTGGTTGATCCTCGTCTTGGAGTGAGAGAGGAGCTTTTTGGTCCCTAATAAGATACAAAATATAGAAAAAATGTCACTTAATTGGTTTATCTGGATATCTAGTGACATTGAAAACCACTGTTTCAAGTACAGTAACCTCTATCGGGTGTATCCTCTTGGGCTATATGGCCTAAGCCAACTACATATTTTTGAATTAAGGAGAGATCACTCAAGTCAATTTCACTTTAGACTAATATGTTAATCTCCAATCAATCTCACCCGCTGCGATTATACATTTTGTGCATAATTTCTTAATATGCTGTTTACTTCAAGGTGGCCATACAAACTGATTACCTGGGTTAAAATCTAGCTTATTTTTTAGACTGTAATCCTCAATTGACCTGAAATGAGGAATTGAGCAATTGCCAAACTAGAACCCACTAAGGTGTAACAGATTGTTACATTTTCCTTAATGCAAACAAAACAAAACCTCAAGGGAAAGCCTAAATTTTGAAAATTTAAGTACCCTGAATGCTTTATAAACAAGGAATACTATATTCTATCCAGACAATCTAAAAGTGATAATTTTTTTTGGCTGCATGTGTGCTTTTTGGGTGATAACAAACTTTACAGAACTTTCAATTCTTAAAGCTATTATTAGTAATTTTTGCTCATCAGTTTTAATTTGAGAATTCCAAAAGACATTGGTTTTGAGTACTCATTATTAAAAGCATTAATCAGTCTATTCTTCTTCTAGGTAGTTGTACTCTTTACCGTAACAGCCCCTGAGATCCTCATTTTCTTCATTAATTTAGCTACTTCTTCTTCTGTGAGATTTCCTTCTGCTACATTTTGCTGCAGTGTACTTTGTAATAAATCCAAAGAAGACATTGCACCTAAATAAAATTACTATTTGTAAAACTTATTATTATTATTAAATTTTATTCTTAAGATGAAATTTTCTTGACAACTTAATTTCTTGCGATCTGTAGATGGGCAATATTTTGTGGCAATAAAATGGGAAATCAGTTCTAATCAATGATATTTGGACAAAAACTGCTAAGTTCCTATATGGTTCAATTACATTTACTAGCTGGCGCATGACATTACTGCTGAGAATTAAATAACAAACTGTTAACTTCTCTAAGGTTAAATTATCAATGCACAGGCAGAAATTGCCCATGTCTGCTTAGCACCTTTTGACGGTGGTAAGGACCGGACTTTTCTCTCATTTTCAATTTCTTTGGCTCTCACAGCAGCAGCATTACTTGCAGACCGGTAAAAGGCTGGATCAGGATTGACCGGCAAGTTTGATCTTGGTTTAACATAACCAAAATGTTCCGGGTTTGACATTTGGTCTGTTTGGAAACAAAGGAAATGTATAAAATTAATGACTTCATGAATAATCTGTAAAGCCACTGGAAAATACTAATTTATGAATTTACTTGTTATTATTGACATTGTTACAATTCCATATCTCTCATTGTAAATAATCATTTTAATCTTATGTATACAAACATTTTAACTAGTTTGATTTTCTTTTGTATAGTTGTTTATTAATTAATGCATATTTATGTTATTTTAATAGTGGGCTTCCCGTGAAGTAGCTTTTTCCTAAAAGATTACCTAATACATTACCATAAGCTAAGCTTAAATTTACTATAGGCATGCATGATCAGTGTGCTAAGAAAGTCATGTTGGATAGTCCAGACCTAGTGTATTCTATCCCTCACTGACTTTCCCGATGGGCAGGTGAATTTTCTGGGGATAAAATCTGAGAAAACTTAAATTGCAAAACAACTATTAATAATAGAATTATTAAAACATCAATTTACTGTTTCAATTTCAATTTTAAATTCATTAATTGTGCTAGTGGAAAAAGCTTTTCTGGGCTAATCAAAATGCATATCAGCCTAAGTGGTGCATCCTTGTTGCAGCTTGCCCAAATGGTATTAACTGATTATATATGTGAAAACAGTCTGCCTGTGTGCAAAATTGGTATTTGAAAGTAAGCAACTCTGCAGCTGTAAACTAGAAGTTGTGGAAATTTAATTTCCTGTAGTGACAAAATTGTCAGGATTTTTTGCTAAATCGTAAGCTGATCTCGGGACTTCTGGATGCAGCTCATTATTTTTGATGCTCTGGGTGGCCATGCATCTCACTAATTACTATAATTATAAAATAGCCATTAAATTCATGTTCATAATTTCAAAGACAAACACTTAGCATGAACCGGTTCTAATTAACAGCTTTAATGGTAGTCTATTTAAGTTAAGTTTGCCGCAAATAGTAAGACTGAAAAGGTTCAAAAACAATAATATAATTACTTGTTGAATCCATGTCCATACATGTATACAATTCTTCTGGATTGTCTTGCCCTTCAGGATTTCTCTCCATGTCTTCATAAACCTCCTGACCATCAGAAGCAGTTCCAGCTTCATAGTTTTGGTATATTTCAGAGTCCACTGAAGTGTACTGATCAGATTCAGGTTGGTTTTGAACTTGGGGACATAGCCTTCTGTCTGTAGTTTCTTCATATATCTTACAAAAGTCGCCTGTGTTGCCTTTCATGGGCACATAATGGTAAGAACCATCCTCACTTTGCTTTTTCACGTAAACGTCCTCTCCCTCTCCATCTTTGTCAAGATTAATGTATTTCTTTCCATTCATTTCTACATAAAGCCCATGACCTTCTTCCTCCATGGGTACATAAATATAGGAACCATCACCCTTTTGCATTCTGGTGTAATACTCTCCCTCTCCATGTTCCATGTCAGTGTAAATCTGATCTGGATCTCCTTGGTCCTTGGAATAAATTCATATAACAGGTGAATATTTCAAAATAATTAAATTGGAATTATTGCATGTACATATTAGCGGCATTGTGCCCTCAGAGTCGAGCTAATACTCACAAGGAAAGTGCACAGTGTGTTAGCCAAATCGCGGAACCCATGAGCCTCTGCAATCTCATATGGGCACTGACGATGATAGTTCCTAATTTTGCAAGCTTCTTGAGCTCCAGGAAAAAGGAAAAGGTTGCTGATAAGCCTGCTTAATCCAAACTCTGATGCAAAGTGAAGCAAAGTTGGATGTTCGGCAGTGGAATCACCTGTTAATAAGAACACGCTCACAGTAAGCTTGGGACATGGGATTATGAACTTCTTTCCAAGCAAAAAAGCCATTCAGCCTGACAAAAATGTTTGGAGGTGTGGGGGTGCCTGAGCAGTGGAGAGTACCATCCAAATCTGAGAGAGCGGCCTCTAATGCAGACTCACTCTTAAACTATGAAAAGGTTAAGTCTGCATACGAGCCAAGTGGCCCATCAGGCCAGAGCTTATCCCGGTTTCTGTAGCATAAAGCGACTAGGAGTATTTCTACTCCCCCCTGGATGGGATGCTAGNTTATCTCCGGTTTCTGTAACACAAAGCGACCAGGAGTATTTCTACTCCCCCTTTAATGGGATGCTAGTCTACTGCAGGGTTACCCCCAGCATTAAGTTTGCTGGTACCCACTTATACACCTGGGTGGAGAGAGGCACTGTGAGAGTAAAGAGTCTTGCCCAAGAACACAACGCAATGTCCCCGGGCAGGGCTCAAGCCCAGACCACTTGATCTGGAGATGAGTGCACTAACCATGAGGCCACTGTGCCTCCCACTTAAACTATGAAAACAGGAGCTAATTGCTGGACTTAACCCCAGTCTAGGACCTAAATAGATTTTGCTACCATCTTCCACATTTCATTAATTTCTGCTATTAGAAGCAGAAATTCTCTTGCTATAAAAATGATCATCAGTTGTTCCAATTTACCTGCTACGTCTTTATGAATGCCAAGCAAATTAAATCCTTCTGGAGCATTTGCTTTGAATGTCTCTGCCAAAGCAACATCTAAACCTTGGAGTTCAGCTGGTGAAATGTTTAGAGATTCACACATGAACTTGACAGGATCCAGCGCTCCATACAGCAGTCTGTAAAATGCGTCGTTCCGTGAAAGAAACTCAAACGTATGCTGCCCTAACAATCGGCGATGAATCCCTTGATAGACATGTGCTGTCACAACACTTGCTATAGGGTACTCTGAAGAAATGCAAAGAAAGTAATTTGTTAAAACCTATGTTTGTTTTAATACCAAAAACTTAAATTACTTTTATATATAAGAGATGACCTGGAAAATAAGACCTGCCAAACAGTTGTGTTGAGAGCTTGTCAATCCCACCATCTATAACAATTTTTACCCATCAATCCTGCTCCCATTGGCAATAATTGAAGGATTTCATGCAAAAAGGGTGTACATGTATATATACCGTATTGCTTTTTGGGTGATATACGCCCTTTTAGTGCAAAATTCTTCAATTATTACTATTGTGTTTTCGTAACAACTGAGATTTTGACAGTGGTTTATTTACAAAACGTTAACAAGGTTAAAGGGCCCTATTCAGCTACACTTTTGTTTTCGTTTACATGCAAGAGCTTGGCTATTACATTTTATTTAGAGCATGTCGAAATGAAGGAAATTACTGCGAAACCACTAAAGATAATTAAACATACTTTCAAGAACAATACTTATGGTAAAGTAATAAGATTTCCCTTGACTATTAAGGCAAAATTTTATGCCATTGGCTGATTTTAAAATCCACTTAAAAACTTGCCTGGAGTCTCCACAAGTAAGGTAGAACTGTTCAATTGCCTGGCAGGGACTTGCAATGCACCAGCTGTTCCCACAAAGTCAACCATAAATTGACCTCTTCCTTTTACAGGTATTCGCTTGTTAAAAGCAATCACAATTTGCTCCCTTCCCTAAATAAAAGATTCACAGAAATCTGAGACCTTCAAATGTGTCATTACAGAAAAATCTCCACTCAGTAGACAGTGCTAATGATGTCCAGTGTGGCATTGAAACATCAAACCATTCCTAATTAATAGTTTTATTTCTTGTCAACTAATAACGCTTTGCAAAACCAATAATCATTCGATCCATGGAAAGGACTGGAAATCTTGAGGAAGCATGGGTCTAAAAATGCAGATTTTAAAAGGAAAAGTGCAAAAATAAAGTATTTGGCTTTACAAACCAACAATGCAGTAAAGTGGTGGGGGAGGCATGGATATTTCCTAGAACACAATGAACAGTTGTGATCAGCAGACTTAATTTTGCCTGAGTGAGGTTCATTCAGTTAAAACGTAACAAAACTTGTCAACTTTCTTTTTCACAACAGCCCTGTTCTAGCTTCTAGCTGCTTTAACCATTTTAGGACAGCACCTTGAACTTCACAACTAACTGAAGTGAGACTTGAGTTATAAATAACCATTGAAATAATGGGCTTGTAAGTTTGAAACAGTGTACTTTACACTGTTAGATTGTCACTTTTACTTTTTCAGTAATTCTAACATACAAATTAAAATGATAGTCTAAATTCAAATTCAAGATTAAGTTATTGCATTGCAGCAAACTGAAGTGAGTTAAAATAACAACATATTAATAATCTTTTTTGCTTTTCTGCAATAGACAGATTTCAATGCATTAAAATTCAGCCTAAAACAATAGACCTCAGCATGAGGCTCAGGGGAATAATTACAGAGTTTGTGGGGTTTATTCCCTGGAACCTCATGCTGAGGTCTATTGTTTTAGGCTTAATTTTAATATGTCAAAATTGGGTTATTGTAAACCTTTTAAAAATTAACACAAAAATACATTATACATGTACTTACATTGTGTGGGACTTTTTCTGGAATTATTGCCACAACAGCCAAAGGATCTAAAAGTTTTAGTTCATACATTACAATATTCTAAAATGGGTTGAATAAAATTAAAATATTACCAGTACATGTAATAACACTCAATGACTAAGTAACCTAAAACCCACATCTCATTTTTTTTTTTACAAAACCCGCTCTTAAAATGAAAAATCCTGCTACGCACTAGTTTTACAACATTATTTAAAGAGAGAAGCCAGTCCGAAAATAATTTGATATTAATTCCAAAGGATGTCATCAATAATGTAAAGGGACGGCTATTTAAATTTTTGTGGAGAAACAAACCAGACAAAATCGAACGTGCAGGTCTTTACCAAGACCACGACAAAGGTGGATTATGTATGTTGGATTTTGAAACAATGATAAAATCATTACGTTTGGCTTGGATCCCAAGGCTTCTAAAGGGCGGGCTCCATACCTGGAGGACAGTACCGGATCACTGTTTTAGAAGTCGAGGAGGTCTAAGATTTCTCCTTAATTGCAATTATTGTGTCAGGTTTTTAGATGATCTTCCAAACTTTTACAAAGATGCATAAAAGCCTTTAGCGAGCTTATAAATCTCTATTCCGAGGATAGCCCCTGTGATACTGTTCTTTTCAACAATAAAGAAATCCTAATTTGGCAAACCTTTCTTTAACAAGGAGTGGTTCTCCAAAGGCATATGCGAAATCCAGGATCTCTTAGATGATAATGGCCGTTTCCTATCTTTTAGTGACTTTCAAGTGAAATATCGATTAACTAGAACCAACTTTCTCCAGTTTTACCAGGTTATT